CTATACAATCTTGGACAACGTCAAAAATTGTGTATTTATACGTTTCATATGTATACATGCTTATATTCGCTTTGACATTTTATGCATTTCCGGGCAGGAAACTATAAATTATAACAGTTATAACATGCACTAGCGGGCTGTAACGCAGCCATGCTATGTCAATGACATTATGACAAATACATGCATAAACCAGCAGGGTTCTTGTTTTAATCTTGTGCGCACTTTATATAACTGAATGTAGCAATTCATTGCATTATTACCTTTTACTGCTTCAAATTCGGCCGGAGACTACAATGACAAATAGAAAACAGCAGGCATCTCAGTCTAAAGTAAAACACTAGGAAGATCATGTGCGTAATTTTTGCAGAGTTTTCAAACGAATTTAACTCCCAATTACAAAATGCAAATTTCAATATACAGTACAAAATATATTTCAAACTCCTCGAAAATATAATATATAAAAATGTTTGACACGTACAGTGTGGCTATATATACTGAGCACGGTACTGAACATATATATGCATTCATGGACTGTAATAAGAGCCTGCGGAGTGCGGTGCGGTGCACTCAGCACCTCCGATGCGCTCAATTATGCGACGACTAAAAACTATAAACAGAACAAAACGACGAATATGTTTTACTATCGCGCAAGCGAGTATAATTACATCATTTTCTAATTTACTTTAAAGCGTTAAGAACTGTCAGAAAAGACAGCAATACAATAGCCTATATTATACTCATTTTGTAATTTAGTTGCATCGTTTTCAAACCGTCATAACTGCCCATTTTGTAATTTACGTCGTCAAGGACAATTATAGGGCTCTATAGATGCGTAAAGGCTTCTATGCTCAATTGTGCAAGGCATCTATAGGCCACGTATAGACGTTTTTCGTATATACTTTTAGTAACGTTGTCAAGGACAATGTGCCATTGACATTGACTAATTGATTGTACATGTTTAGCCGCCAGTGCTAATAGCGACTATTTTGAGTTAGTAACCAGATCCACGAGGATTCACATCGAGTTTATGATTCGAGTTACCGGAGGACTCGTTACAGAATAGATCGTTTTACTGGGATTGCTGCCAAATATAGCCATGCATTTTCGATTCAGTTTTGGTGACTGGTGTTTTACAATTATATAATCATTTATGAAATCGATATATTAAATTTCCTTAAAATAACCTGAAACCATTGGCAAATATATTTATATTTTTTATATAGGCCTAATTTTAATTTTCAAACCACGGTATGCATGCAAGCATCGTGGACATATTGTGAACTTAATAATATAACACTTGTCAAAATAGGTACGCATTGCGTACATGTGGGTAGCCAAAAGTTCGATAAAAATAGATACAAACTGAGCAGGCTATGAAACTAGTAGACAGATCCAGAAGTATTATAAATATATATATATTTTTGACAATGCCTACATTACAATTAATTCTTGATAGCAATGGTACTTTAATAATTTAACTGAGGAAGAATTTGATTTTAATTGTTCAAGACAGTGAGTTCATTCATTTACTATGTTCATTCATTTAACTATATTAATAATAGGACAAATGGCATTTCTAAAATTTGTCCATATTTAGCACGCTTTTTTACAAGCATGTCAAATAATCCAGTCATCCATTGTAAACATTTCAGTTGTAAAGATTTATGTCACAAAACATCCAGTTAAAGATTGCTGGTGTTTACTGTATTGCCAACTTTGAACAGAGTTCATGAAACATTTTTCTTGTTTTGATACCATAATGATTGTAGTTGCCACTATTTCAACAATATTATCTCAATTTTTGGTTCCACCAACAACAGCGTCATCAGTAAGTAAATAACTCTGGTGTACTTGTTGTATTGAATATCCATACAGTATTTCTTCATGACAAGATTGTATATTTGAAAAAGTTCTGATCATATTGCATATTATCCAATATTATCACCAGTGTCCTGATACATTATGTGATTTCACTTATTAGTATATCATCCAAGGTGCTGTACAGTATGCGTTTGTTGTTTCATTGTATTAAAGTAAAAGTTCCTCTTTTTGAATCTTTGTTTATCTATATTTTGAAAAAATAAATGTTGGGTTAAGGTCATAACTTTTCCAAAGTGAAATGCTACCTGGAATCCCATATATGTTTTACTTGGTGGAAAATAGTTACTAACAAAGGGATTGGTGAAAAATATTTACCTCTTGTTGAATGTTATGAAATGTTATGTGAAGCTATCGGTGACGTAATCAAGTTTGAAATGTTGTAATTGTAGGCATGTCTAAAAACAGAAAGAGTAAATACATTAGACAAACATAAAAACACATAGAAAAAAGAGAATGGAAGAGAAGGGAAGAAAAGAAGAAACGAACGCTTACCTGTTAGAAAAAGTCATGCATTTCTAATTTAAAATTAGGATATACATAATATATATAGTTTTGTTAGTTCTGTTTTGGATTAATGGGACACAGTTCTGCCATTGCTTTAATATTAATTCAGGTATACAAAACTTAACCTGTACTATTTTAGCAACGTTAGCAGTAAGGATGTAGTTGTTATTTCTATGTTTTGAGAGAGGCCCATATTGCTTTATGATCACTAAAGTATGTCTCTAAAACACCAGTATGAATTTTATCCTCAATCAAATTTGTATATAAATGATCAATTAATGTTGCATTATCTGTAGTAAAACTTGATATGATTTGTCTGTAGCTATTTTCTGAGACCATGAGGTTATACAGTGACTGTCTCTCAAATTCCACCATCCAATTTACATTAAAGCTAGTCTCCAATAACAATACTTTGAGCAGACACATTTTCTTCATGAATGGTACGGAGTGCAGCAAGTAGCTGTGATAAAGCAATGCTAGGAGAACGATATAATCCAAACATAGTTAGATCTGGATGATCCTGTGTTTTAATCACAGTTAATTCAATTCCATTTATATTGCGAGCACAGGGATATCCATCTGCCAATGGAGTTCGACTATAAACAGCTGTTCCACCATATGGACGGGTAGGACCAGAATAATTAGATATGTCATTTCGAAATAACCTGTAACCATCAATAGTGTACATCTCATCAGGGTCTAAAGGACTAAACCTTGTTTCAGTAAATATTAAAATGTCTGTTGAGAAGTAATTAGGGTCTTTTCGAACATCTTCAATGTGTTTATGTAGAGATTGGGCATTGAGGTAACAAATTTTCAAATTGGAGTGATCTAACATGTACAAAGGTGTGAAACAAAGTTTCAAGCAATGTTCTGTTCTTAACATTTCCATTTCTTTTATAACTCTTTGATCAACAGATATTTTATCCTCACATAGGTCAGTGATATATAATCTTTCAATTGTTGTAACTCGGCTTAGAGCAACATAATGTATATGTGCAATAGTCCTGTTAGTACTTAGGTTAGCAACTATTTGTGTCTGGGTATCACCTTGGGATCTATGTACAGTTTTAGCTGATGCAGCCCTTAGTGGAAATTGCTTTCTTACAACTTGAGCTGATTTAGTTTTTCCAACAGCAAATTGTGTTGTAACGGATTTAATTGGTGTCCATGTATTGTCAATACTTCTACCATACAGATTTCTGTTTTCTTGTCTGGTCTTTCTCCCAACATCTTCATAGTCAAACTGGACCCAAACTATACCAGATGGTTTACTTTCATTATTTAACTGTATTAATCTTATGACATTACTTGCACCATTTGTAAGACCATCATCAGTTCGCACATTGATTGCAATTTCTGTTCGTTGCCCTACAGCAAGTTTTAGTTTAAGAGCCAACTGTTTAGAGTTTCTAAGTGAAACATAAGGTATTTGCCTCATTATTTTCTCTTTGAGCTCAGCAGAACATGCTCCAATAACACTATCTTGTGCTTTAATTGTGTATTTGTTATCACTAAAAGATTCAAACACTTTTTCATTATAATTGTCAACCAAAGCATTTTGAATAAACAAACGAGGAGCTTCACTTGGACAGTTAGATTCTTGAACACATCTCTCCTTTAGCTTCTGGAGGTCACTGGAAGTATGTTTTCCTTCACTTAATCTATTTAAAACTTCAGCAAACATTTTGCTTTCTCTCTGTCGCATAATTTCATCGAGCTCAAACATTCTGAAGTACTTTTTCCATAAGTTTGGAACAGTGGCGTAGCTAGCGAAATTTGACTAGTCCTGCTCTAAGATCCATACATTCTTGGGGGGTCCCGGGTATGCTCCCCCTGGAAATTTTGAATTTTAGAAGTCTGAAATGGCCATTTCCTGCGATTTCACGGCGAAATCACTCCAAAGGGAATATAAAAAAAATGCGTGATTAGCGGAAAATTTTTGATAATTTTTTTAGAAAACAAAATTTGTAACTTTTTGAAATCCATGCATTTTTTTATCATATTTCACTATATATTTTTCAACTTAATTATCTGAAAATGTAGCTAAATATAGTCAAGTCACGAAAGAGGAAAATATCATGTAAACAATACGCGTCTATAATACGATCTTTCACTTGATCAACATATAATATAGTCTATGCGGCCAAATATCTACATAAACAGTGTGAATTGGTACAGTAGGCTATATCATTTTTAAAATTAAACTCCATATAAGTGCTCGTTTCAAATGCACAAAGCAGATGAACTGGCAGTAAATAATACGTTCTTACTTTATATCAATACGACAGGCTTCACAAATGAAGTTTGTATTCCCCATTATATTGTATTATAAAAATACACAATCATCAGTCGAGTCTGTTCACATGCATTTCATGAGCTAAAATATCTTAGCAGAAGCCAGAAATTATATCAAAATCACATTGGGCTTCCACACTCGTTGATTTCCATATTCATAACTTGAGTAATCTCGACAGAATTAGTAAAAAGTGGGTTTAGTCACGCGGAAAGCTCGCAAGTAAAGACAATATAAGGCCAAGTCCTGACATTTCGAGAGAGCAGGACTTCGCATTTGTAAACAGTCGGTTTGAGCATGCGCAAACCTAATTATCCAATCAGAAACCAAGATTTCTTGTATGAATTTACTATGAAATATACTAGCAAGTCCTGCCATTTGAAAATGGCAGGACTGAAATACGAGTCGCGTGTAAATCAATGTAGAGTTGCAGTTGCTAGGTAACAGACACGGCAAGCTGTAAAATTGCGTAAATGTAACAGAATGCGAAAAACTTTTTAAAAAATAATAACGAAAAAGACGAGAAAATGAGACAAAATAACAATATGATGATAAATATTTAAAGCTTCAAGATGAATAAAGCAATGTTTTAGTAAGGAAATTTGGGGAAATTTTTAGTCCTGCTGGGCAGGACAAGCAGGACCGCTAGCTACGCCACTGGTTTGGAACAAGAATATTAGATGAATTTAGGGATTGAACATCAGTGAAAATGTAGCCATCCATAACAGGTTTAAGTTGAAATAAGTCACCTATTGTGATGATGCTTACACCACCAAAATCTTCTTTGCTTCCTTTTAAATCCTTTAAACGGTTATTCAATTGAATTGTAAACATACTATTTCCAACCATTGAAATTTCATCAAGTAATATCAACTTCAATGCACCCAATTCACATCTTAATGTATTTAACCTACCAGAATCTAGTGGTTTATAGTTTTTAAGCGATTGGCTTGCTGGAATTGCTAAAGCGCTATGAATTGTGTTACCTTTGATAAGATAAGCTGCTTTTCCTGTGGGAGCAAGTAATAATATGTGAGAACGATGAAAATCTTCACCAGCTTTTGCATTATAGTACTTTAATGCAGCCTGATAAATTGACTTGATAAGATGAGATTTGCCAACACCTCCACTTCCACTCAAGAATGCATAAAATGGTTTATCAGATATTCTAATAAGATGTAAAACATGGTAAAAGAATTCTCTCTGTTTTTTATTGAGCATTTGAACCAAACCTCGATACTCATCATCTTGCATTTCATTTAGAACAAGTGGTTCATTATTAGGTAAAGTTGACGAAATGCCCAGATCCTCCGATAGATCATAATTTTCATTTAGATCTGGATGTGTGTCTGTATTACCTTCATCCTGATCTTGAAGTTCAGTGTGTTGTGTTACTGGGGCTATTGTGTCATACAAATCATCACATTCCTGTAAGTGTTGTTGAATTTCATTAAGGTCTTCACTACAAACCGCATATTGTCTCATTTGCTCACTTATTTCATCATAGTGAGCTAGGTAATGTTCTTGGAAAGAAGAGAAACTTCCTATTAAATCAGTCTGTTCATTTCACCAAGGAGTAAATAGCATTATTAACTCACGATAATGTTTTTCTGGATGAGCCTCCTTATTAAACCAAACACTTCTGATTATTCTAGCTTGAGATCTTTCCTTTATTGTTTTATTAGATGAGACACTGACCACAGAATTTTCATCCTTTTATAAATCATCATCATTATTTCCATCCCCTGTTTCAACTGGAAAGTTATCAATATCAGCTTTTTTGTGTGACTTTTTATGATTCTGTTTACCACAAGAGTCATACCATGCTGCCCAGTCTGCTAAGGTAACATTTTGCAAAATGTCTGGTCGTTCTACATAGCGTTTCAAAAGTCCACCGGAATGAATTTCTTCAGATTCATCTGACATTTTTTCTATTTCAGCCAATGGCTTAAGTAATTCAACTTGTTCAGCGGGAGGAGATGTATTGACAAAGATAACACTCCTTGATGACTTTCGCATTGGAAGTTGTAGAATAAGGTACACTGCCTCTTGTGCACTAATTTCTACAGAGTTCAAAAATTTATTGCCAATATCACGGACCTGTTGCTTTATGTTTGCATTTCCCTCTTTGGCTTCAGCACAAGCTCTACGTAACAACTCACTCGTTCCCTTTTGAGCCTTTGAAATATAGGAGACAATGTACATCGCACAAGCATATACATCTAGAACAAATTGAATGTCCATGTTAGCTCTCCAGGCATGAAGACATGCAGAATTGTAATTATTTATCCTTAATTCATTCGGATTTCTTTTCAGGAATATTGTTGGACAGTTGAGAGATGATCGAATAACAAGGGTATATGTGTGTTCTGAAATGTCCAACTCTTCCAGAAGTTGGTCAAATGTTATGTCTTTACCCTCTTTTAGATCATTGAGTTTATTTTTAATATCTTTCCACAATTGCTTTCTGTTTCTTATCACAGTGTCAGGAGTATCATCATCAAGTGGATGTAATATCTGTGTACACCTCATTGGTGGCTGAGGATAGTTGAATCTACAAACATTTTTTTATTTTTTTCCGCATGTATGAGAATGCTTGTGTGTTTGCCTGTTAACCAGTTCAAGCAATTTGTCATCATTACCTGGCTGGCTTACTACAACTTATAATTTGGTCAATGAATGCAGTAACATCTTCATCTTTGTCAATACCAAATACTGGTGCATTTTCAAGCCATATGAGCATGTGGATGTGAGGTGAGCCTCGTTGTTGGTACTCAACCCTGTAAAACCAATCCTTTAGTTTTCCTAAAGGAGAAATATCACTCATTAAAAACTCTTTTAAGAAAGTATTAAATTGGTAATCAAAATGTCTTGCACATGTAACTGGATCACTTTGAATTAGTCTACACTTTTCTTCCCATGTAAGATTGTCTAACTCTTCATCACTGTACTCTTTGTGATCAATAAGTTTTCCAAGAATTCTTAATAGATGAATCCATTTTGTCTCACCAGAGGAAAAACTGCAGAATAATGATGCTGGTCCTAATTGGCGAATCATAGCAAACAAGTCTTTTTTGGCTTTTTCAAATTAAGGGGGTGAACCTCTTAAGGCTCTTAAAAATTTATACCCTTCATCATGGGAAATTAAACTTTCTAAACCTTCTGGTGTTTTCAGCTGTCCCGCAGTAAGTGTTCTATCTCCCAATTTGCACTTTCGCAAAGCAATTTGTGATTGTCCCAGCAATAACTTCATTTGTAATTTTTTTGCCTTATAAAATATGTTTTCAATGCACATTGCAGCACGTCTATCATATCGTCGCAATTCTGATTTGCATATTTCACTATAGTACACACTTTTTAATCTTTGTTTATCATCTGGTCTTTTTTGGCCTAAGAATATTCCTGGGTAAGCCATTTCTTCTCAGTATTACCGAAATCAGTAGAGTGTCTTTTCCGGAAGTTGAAAAGACAGTCAGAAGTCAGTAGAAACGTTCATGTTTTATGACGTCACGGTGAAGGAATGCAGCGTGGAAAGTGAAGTTTGTGAGCTGTGAACACACCACAAGTTGTTTGTATCAGGAAGCGAAAATGAGTTTAATTTTAAAAGTTTTTTTTATGGGAAAGAGAAATGCCACAACGTTTACCTAAATCACTTATCGCCGATACTGATTTACGACTTGAATACGAAGACGACGAAGGAACGTTTGTCAGACTAGAAAATGGCGATAAAGATGCATTTATGGACGCTTTACGCTGTGCTAAAGCTGTCGAAGGGACTGACAGCCGTCGCTTAAAGATTAGAGTTTCTGAATCGTCAACGCCACAACGAAAATTGCAAAAGTTGAGTTTTAGCCCCGATGCTGTGTTATTTCGTGATGTCTCTATAAACAAGGATCTCTCCTCCGATTACTCTGCCTACTCAATTCCTTCGCCTGCGACAAGTTCAGCATCAAGTTCAGCGTCTTCTCGCCTTGCGAGAAAACAACTAAATTTTGAAGCTCGAATGCCATCATCAACGACAACGACAACAAATCCACCGAAAACGATCAACCATCGTTCACCACTTGAAAGGTATCTGGCGGATGCTGAAACACAAGTATCAAAACAAGCTGCTACAGTACAAAAACTCAGGACAGAGTCGATCGATTTGAATTAGCCATCCCAATCGTCGCGAAGCCGAAGGTATCTCCATCATGTGGGTTATATCATAGAAGGGAAAAACACAATCGTGTCAATTGCCCTTACAAGCCGTACAAATGTGAATCTGTTTTTACTTGTGGTGATCTTGAAAAACACAAAGATGAAAAAGATGAACGTAAACGCCTTCAACAGGAATTGAATACGGAGAAACAGAAACTAAAGAAACTCGAATTACAACTAAAGTGTAAAAAAGAATCGCAGAAGACAAAGACAGTTAATTCGTCCAACGCGAAAATGAGAAAGCGGCTTGTTGCAAGTAATGAAGCAAAATACTTATCAGATGGTAGGGAAAACTGGAGAGTTATCAATATGGATCTCAGTCTACTAGACCAGCATTTCAAAGGAAAAGTCCCAGATGATAATATAGATTCGCAAGAGGTTCTTGAAGATATATGCATCCGCAGACTCCCGGGGTCTAAACATTGTGACCAGGTCAAAGAATTGTGGAAAATGAAGGGCATAACATGGCCAGGGTCTTCGACAGAGTCTGCAGGCTGTATCAGGGAAAGTCGATGTGAAAAAAGTTCTAGTTCCACTTCGTCCAAATTTTATTCTCCAGCAGACAAACATGAAGAAAACGAGCAGTTACAAATTGCATTGAGAGAGAGTCTTCACATTAATAAACAACATATAAATATCGAGAATGAAGCGGAGACGCAACCAGCGGCGCCTATAGCTATGCCCATCGAAACAAAAGAAACTTATGACGATGACGATAAGGCAACAGCACAAATGTTACTTGACATTCTGTATAGCAGTACCAAAGAACAATCCGATTCCGATGAAACTGTCAATGAAAATTAATAAACTATCAAAACACTCAAGCCGCCAATGTCAAAGTCGAAAGACAAAGACATTTGGCTTACTATTGAAAAACATTAACTTTATCAGGCAAACACTATAAACTATACTGAGTAGGTTTTAAACGGTTATAAAGTTTCATTCACACAATTAAACTTTTGAGTTTTGTTGATTTCTGTTGATTTTGACATGTTGTCGACTCATGTTTAGACAAATATGTATTCAAGCACAGGTTTTCATTGTGCTGCATTTGTATTAAATATATACGTTGAAAATAACGGTGACATTTGAACAAAAATATAATTCTTTTGACTTTGTCAGTGTTAATAAATACTTATATTAATTATTATAGTAATGCGGTATAAAGCCGTGCCGTCAAAAGAATGTTTTTACTAAATTTTACATGTAGCTAAGTTGTTACTTTTGTCACTGAAATGGCTTTGGTGGAAAAGGCCCAAATTATTTTTCACATTCAAAATTTTCGATCAAATTTTCATTTTCGTGGTCATATTTTGTAGAGCGAAACTCCACTTTGGTACCTATATAATCTACTTTATATCATGTCTGCGTATGGTGAAACTTTTGACGAAGTTTCTGCGAGCGTAGTAGTCGACAGGAATTTTGCATCAGGTATTTTTTATATTTTTGAAGGTTTGCTAGAAATGTGTGCGAAATGAATGTGTGTGTGATTTCTATCAAATATTATAGTAATCCTTCAAAACTTTGATATACCGATGCAAAATTCCTAGTGTAATCACAGAAAGTCAAAATCAACATGACTACTAACTGTACATGCTATGATACAAATGCAATAGCACAGAATAAGAAAGCAATAGTTTCATTGATTTTACATTTGATTTCACTACGTAACAAATTTTCCCTTATTCCTAAATGTTGCAAACTTCGTTCCAAAGTTATCATATTCACAAACCGTTACTCGTTAGTTTGTAAACAACGCATCCGATTGACTTATTAAAGTTCAGGGGACAACCAGAGGCTTTGTTTACAATCTAGCTAATTGTTCGAAACATTTAGGGAAAAGTAATGTGAATCGACTGTATAAATATAGAGTTGAATGTCAAATTACATTTGAAAGTAGTTTACATATCGATAAAATCCAGTCATATCTGCCTCGGAAATTGTTGAGATTGCACCAAAAATTGCGGCGGGGACATTAACATGAAGAAGTTGTGCGTACTCATCGCGTTTCAACATTGTCTTTAGCTTATTGAAAACTAATTCTACTGCATTAAATTCAGGCGAACAAATTGGCGTGTAGATAACAGCTATGCCCATATCGTTAAGCCAGCTAGCGACTGCCTGGCCACCTTCAAAACGATGAATCGCAGCATTATCATAAACAATGACATCTCCATTATCGAGTACTGGCAACCCACTCGGAGTTGTATACTCAACTGCCTCACTCCAAAAATTCAAAAAGTTGTAAGTATCAGCTCCTCCAAAAACAGTATTTGCATACAAAACGCCTTCTAATCCACATAGAAGATTAAGAGTATAGTTCACTCCTTTCGATTGTCCATTCAATATTTCCACAGCATTGGTCCCTTTGAGTGAATGTCCGTAAGACCGATGTCCTGTAGCTACATTTACGCCTGCTTCGTCAAAATATTTAACTTTAACAGGATCCATACCATGAAGGAATTGCAAGAACTGCTGTGCGTAGGTTATGTTGCCATCTGTAAATTTGTCCATAGGCTGTTTTGTAAGTTTCTTCCAAGTCCACGGTCCGTCTGACATACGGCTGCGAACAGTTCTTCCAATTGCACTAACCAAAGTTCCCCCCTCGATGTTGCCAAAAATTTCTAATTTCTCCTTCACTGACGAATAACTGATGCTTGGTCTTTCTCTCTTTAGAAATTCCACAAGCTCGACATCTTCTGGCTTTTATATGAGCAGGATTCCCAGTTTTATGCGGACCAGGATTAACAGTTCCTTCAGACAAACTAATATCCACACCTTTCTCACCGTTTCAGGCCATATTTGAAAATGATTTGCCACTTCAATAAAACTACCAGGAAAAAAACCAGTTGCCATGTCTCCTCCGAGGTTCATGATCTTATCAACAATGGCACATCGCATTTCTTCTCCCAGCGCGTCCCCACGAACGAATGTTCTCCCTTTGCCCCAAAGCGTATATTTTCTATATTGTGCTTGGCGAGCCATTGGCAATTTGTGATACTTTTAAGTTACTATACAATAACTTACAAGTTCCACACTGCATTCCTTCACCGTGACATCATAAAACATGAACGTTTCTACTGGCTTCTGACTGTCTTTTCAACTTCCAGAAAAGACACTCTCTACTGATTTCGGTAATATTGATCTCTAAATATACTCAGTGGTCTGTTACCTCCTGCGGGAGCAAAGTTGTATATTTCATGTCTTTCACTGTCATCGACAAAATCTGGGGATGTAAGCATGCTGTCGGTTACACCAGCAGGTATTTCTGCTTCATCCTCACTCCAATCATCGTCTGGATCAGTTTGATCATCTGAACCATTTGTGTTTCTATTGCTGTGAATATCAGTAGCCATTTCTGATTGAACACTTGTCATCCAGTTTTCATCAAGGGTAATTCCTTGCTCTTGGTATAAAGTGCTAGTATTGACTAACCAAGCACCTGCTTGCATGACTTTGTTAGGTCTTATGTTTAATGAAAGTGCTGAACTTTTATATTGCAATCTCCGTTTCAATTGAACTTTAATTGTGGGAAGTGTGGTTACAGTGTTAGTAACATCTGCAGGTACATTAACAACATTAACTGTTATTTTAAGTTGACCACCCCTGGGGGCTTGAAAAATTTTTTGAAATGCTAACCGTGGAGCAATTAGTCTACATTCTAATTCATCGAGGTCAAAAAAACTTGGCCTCTCGGGAAATTGCATGCCGTTTGCAATTGCACATGGGGGAACTTTGCCCTTTCTCAAGTGATTGTTGCATGTGTTGCAAAGCCACTGTACATTATCAACACTTCTAACACTTTGCAAATACTTAGCAATATCTGGATTAACTAATCTTATTCAGTCAGCAGGGCAGACACTGTGCTTATACCACAACTGTTCACAGCAAGTACATACATAAAGAGGTCCTGTAGATACAGAATTGTGAAAATTTCGTATTAGCTGTGTAATATTATTAACACCAGATGAACAAATAACACTGTTTGTGTCCCTACTATCCGAGGTTCTTTTACATGTACGTTTTTTCACCAAACTTCTATAAGATCTTTGTTTAGCTAACCTTATTTCTCGTTGTTTTGAAGATTCATTCTTTCTATTTGATCTTTGTTTAGCTAACCTTATTTCTCGTTGCTCTGAAGATTCATTCTTTGTATAAGATCTTAGTTTAGCTAACCTTATTTCTCGTTGCTCTGAAGATTCATTCTTTCTATTTGATCTTTCTTTAGCTAACCTTTTTTCTCGTTGCTCTGTAGATTCATTCTTTCTATAAGATCTTTGTTTAGCTAACCTTTTTTCTCATTGCTCTCCAGATTCATTCTTTCTATTTGATCTTTGTTTAGCTGACCTTTTTTCTCGTTGCTCTGTAGATTCATTCTTTCTATAAGATCTTTGTTTAGCTAACCTTTTTTCTCGTTGCTCTCCAGCTAGATTCATTCTTTCTATTTGATCTTTGTTTAGCTGACCTTTTTTTCTCGTTGCTCTGTAGATTCATTCTTTCTATTGGATCTTTGTTTGGCTAACCTTTTTTCTATCACCTCAGAAGATTAAATCTTTCTATAAGATCTTAGTTTAGCTAACCTATTTTCTCTTGTATTTGAAGACTCATTATCTCTTTGAGCTCTCTTGGAATTGTTTTCTTTAGAAAGCCTGCTTTCCCTTTCTTGCAAGGTTTCATTCTGTCTTATCGCACTTCTAGAATTTCTCTTTTGCATACATTCCTTTTCTTTTAAGTACGAACCTTTACATTTATGATTCTGTGTTGACAAATTAACAGAAGAGTTAAGTTTGTATTTGACAAATCAGGTCTTTTATTACATTTAACACCCTTCAATTCAAATGGGATACAAACATTTTGATGTGTGCATGATGCAAGCTGAAAGTAATGAACAAGATTTTGAACTCCTTCAACTGAAGTTAAAACACAATGACCAGATGCAGATGGCATCCAATGGAGATCTCGTGAGTGAGAATCAAAAATTCTAAAGACTTCAGGAAAAGGCATGAAAATGGTTACTGCATTCATACCGATTGTGATTAAACAGGTTTTATAAGGTGAAGTAAAAAATATTTCAGTAAAAGCATGTTCAAGTGTCACATATGGATCACTATTTACAGTCATAAATAATGCACCTGAAAAAGACTTGCTATACTCCAAATGAAATGCATCATTATCAATGTCAACAAATTCAGGTACCTCGGTTAATAACAAAAAATCTTTATTTATACACTGACTAACAATACCGTATAGGTTGTTTCCATAATATAGAATTTGGTTCATAGTTGATGTGTCCCAAATGCTAACTGTTTTAATTTCATTGTAAACAATTGAGCATAATGACATGGCAACACATTGTTTTCCAGCATTCGACCCAAACATGGATTAATTACCTTGATGAAAGTCAGCATGAACTGTATATGTGGGATCAACTATTTCATTAATATTGATAGGACCAGGATTTTCTTCAACATCGTTTGAAAGTCTCAACAGTAATGATACATAAATATGATAACATACCATCTGTGCATACCACATGTAGACCTCATTATTTTTCTCAGTTTTAGTCACTACGTTTTTCAAACATGGTAAATAAATACTTTTAAATAGGACATCATCAACATTTGATTCCAAAATTTACCTTTCAGTTGTGACATAGCTATTTGACCTTGTGTAATATTGTGATGTGAGCCAATCCTTGAACGATAGATTTCAGTGGTTACACCCATATTTTTGATAATCTAAAACTCAAATATATTGAAGGTAGTTTTGTTGACTACTGTAGTAATAGTTAAATATCCCCAGCACAATGGCAATGGGTTTGTTTATATACTTGCACAATGGCAAGGTTGATTTTTGTTTACCTGCACAATGGCAAGGTTGAATTGTTTTAGCCGCACAATGGCAAGCTAGGTTTAGTTTTGGTACGTGGTCTTTCACATAAATAGTGTCTGATCTTCAGATCAGCGCGAGCACAACAGCCCCTTTTTTGCTTCGAACGTGGTTCTCCTCACGTAGATGTCTGATCTAAGATCAGCGCAAGCACACTGGCTTCAAGTACAAAATCTAAACAAACCTTACAGTAATAATAGAACAGAGCAGCCAAAATAACGTTATTACAAAAACAAACAAAACCAAAATAGCAAGAACAAAGAAGAGTTACTTACCGTTTCCTTACAGTAAAGAGGTCGATTATAGCCAAAAATATTTTTAACAAAACGCGCTCAAATATGAAAATGTTGTCATAGATATCACTAAACTGTCGGGCCCACTTCGGCTCTCGGGCATTCTCGTGTTCCGAGCCTGCGATACTTCAGCGATTTTACAAAAAGTGACGTAAGTTGGGGGGTTCAACCTTAAATATAGGCTGGGATTACCATAGAGATTATAAATAACACTAGAGGAGGCATCGAGACACAGAATAAAGACATACAGAAGTGTAACTTCCATTACAAAACCGTAAGGCGCTTTTTACCGAAATAGCTGGCGGCCATGTTCTTAGCAAGTGCCCTAAAGAGAGGCATTCACCTCCCTGGAATATTAAATTTTCAATATGTTTTCAGGGGGGTGACTGCCTCTCTCTAGGGCACTTGCTAAGAACATGGCGGACTGAAAAAATCCCTTACGCACTTTTAATAAGAAGATACACTTCTGTATGTCTTTATTCTGTGATCGAGATTTAAAAATTGGGAATGCAGCTAATGGGGGGCAAATTCAAGAAATACAAGATTGTCAGGCTGCAAAACTTCGTGAAAATAGCATGTTATTGCTGTATTGTTGCGATCCTCATTATGGCTTGTGTTTTACTATACCAAGTTTACCTTATATTAAATTGCATGGGACGTGCTGTCATTTTAGCTTGATAAATAATCCGTCTGTCAAAGCGAAGGAATTGTGTTTATATAATTCCCAATAGCGAGGCCCTTCTTTCTAAGTTGGATGGCATTAAATATCTGTGTATCATCAACGTGAAAACAAGCGCAGTATTTAAAGTTAGTATATTACAATGCATTTAATACAGTTCACTTGTTATTTGGTCAAATTGTACAAATTATGGCGAAATATTTCTAATAATTTAACCCTTTAGTTTGACCCTACTCCTGATGAGTTTGCTAACGAAAACACCCAGCATATGCTTTTGATTTTGGATTTCGATGTGGATCATATATTGACAGCGAATAGAATTGATGATGAACATTCAGATGATGAACATTGGTTCTCAGATGGACTTGAAGGTATATTGTTATTCATGGTTTTATAAATTTTTGCTGAGTGTGATGCCTGTTTGTATCTAGTTGTGGGTGGTTGTTTAAATGTGCAAACTGTAATTTAATATTTTTTTAAAATTTTCATCTAAATATTGCTGTTTGTATATTTTTGCTAATTTTAGAGATGACAAATATGTATCAAATAATAATTTCCTTGTTATGATTTTGTAGAAAGAGATTTACTTGAGTGGTTGGCTGGTCTTGAACCTGTTCAAGATGTATATGATAATGAAAGAGGTGATCAAGGTGATAGGGCAGAATTAGTGATGACAAGTTAAGTGATGAAGACGAAAGTGATGTGGAGGAAGAAATCGCCCACTCTGTACCATTCAAGTGCATCGGTGCTGCTCATGAGAAAAACTACTGACGTCATTTGGAAAATTAAGGCATAATACCTTGCTCTTCATGAACAAGATAAAACAGTGAATTCAATGTAAGAATACGGCCAGCACCATTGAATCCAAGGGACCCAAGTGCAATGGTCAATTCCAGCTTTTAGGTTATGAATGCAGGGGGTGATGGGAAGTAAGGTATCATATTGCTGATAATGCTGAAAAATAGAAATGGTGGCCATGTAAACGTGGACAGATAGCTATTGTAAATATTGAAATATTTTGGTTGTTTAGGTAGATTAAAAATTTTCCAGCATAATCAGCAATATGATACCTTACTTCCCGTCACCCCCTGCATGCATAAATTAAAAGCTGGAATTGCCTATTGATCTAGACTATGGAACTGTATGGACACATGTTGGTTATATTGCTTCTGAACTATGCAAGTATTTGCACCCACTAATTGCGGCGGGAGATGTCGTGGATGTTTATGTTCAGTGTATCAAGTATAGGGTTGACTTTTTTAATTAAAAATAGGATTTTATCAAAACATTTTCATAAAGACACCTGGGGCCGGTTGTTCAAAGGTGGGTTAGCGCTAACCCTGGGTTAAAATTTAACCTGCTGTTTTAGTTTGTGTACTTCTGTACATAGATCTGTGTATTTCAAAACTTCAGAGAAGTAAACTCCTATCAATCCAGACAAGATCTCTGAAGAAATATTTCCAAATTTATAGAAAAGCTGTCAGGAAGTTTGCTTCAAATTTTAGGTTAACCATGGGTTAAACTAACCCAGCTTTGAACAATCGGCCCCTGGTGAGTGGAGACTCGAGTGGTAGGAAAAAGCATGAGTGTATGTTGACAGATGTTTTTTATATAATAAATAGCAACTACCAAGCTATGTTTAGCAAGTTATTAGTGCATTTATTTCAATTGGCTAACTTTTTTAGTTTTTCCAACATTTTTAAACAAACCATAGGTTATGAATGATAACTGGGTATATCTAATTAAACCAATTTGTCATGTACACTCATGCAAATAAGACTAAGTACATAAATAACTGTAAAAAATGTACTTTAGTAAATAAATGAATATTTATTCATACACTTGACCTACTTTGTGAGTATTTTTTCAGATTAAAATTAATGCAACAATAAAACAAGATGTCTATTTATATAATATTTATTAAATTGATCAGAGATCCTACTTCAGCTCAGAAACCACTGCCAGCAGGGAAAGATCCCACAATAACATGCCACTTAATTTGTTATATGATACATAAAAACTTATTTTATTGCTTTAAAACAAGTGAAGCTCTCTGCTGGCTTGAAATGGGCTGTTATGACACTGATTTGTCCATGCTGAGGATTCCGCAGCTCGATTTGCCACAAAAACCCCAGTATCAGGCGATCAGCTCGTCTTGAAATACGTACACGATCCAGC